CGGTATTGATTTTTCAAAAAGAAATCTGACATCTAAGTCGTACACATCAAACATTCTTTCTGAAGATTTAATTTTTATGCTTGATCTTTCAAGCATCCTGCATTCCTGCAACAACAATCAATGTGTCCTGCCATTTTTTACTCTGTCGCTTTGAGTCAGTCTCTCAAGGTAATGCGGTTAGAGTAAGCATAAAAAAAAATCAAATCCTGAGAGGGAAGATGGATGACTCTCAATGGTAAACCTGCATGTGTGCTTGATTTTATTTCCATGTACATGTCTGAATTTTATTCTATTGCACTGACGTGAAGTACTGTCTGCATTTAAGGTTTAGAAAATACCATGGTATGTTGTAAGGATTTGTCTTTTATTAATTGTCTGTGTGTGTGTGTGTGTGTGTGTGTGTGTGTGTGTGTGTGTGTGTGTGTCTGTGTGTGTGTGTCTGTCTGTGTGTGTGTGTGGTCAATATTCACACAGTGAGTATCGACTGCAATGTGAGAAGCCTGAAAAACAGAGAGTGGAGAAGGATCAGATATTGTGTCCTGAGGAGCAGGTGACAGCTGCAGACAAGGCTCTCAAATGTTTTCAAGATGTGGGAGCTGGGACCGGCTGCATTAGTGGCTAAACGAAGCATCTGTGAAGGCAATGTGCTGAATGATATACACGCAATGATATACATTGCTGCTTTGCAGCAATATATGATGGCATACAGATGTAAGTATTGTTCAGTTCAGTACGACAATACTGAATATTCTGCATGCGTTTCAGCAACAGTCCCAGTACTAACCCGACTCCTGCAGACTCAACTTTAGGCAGAAAGTCTGATTTTTAAAGCTAAAGCTGTTGCTAAAACATGGAGTTTTTAATCATCCACACACGAACCTCTTCTTAATACTACTATGCAGTGCTCATGTATGTAAGGCTGAATGAGGCACGCTGTATTAAAGCACTATTTAAGAATCAGTCCATTTATAATGAGCCACGCGGTCAATAAAGGTCCGTGTCTACAGTTCTTACATGAAGCGTGACTCGATCACGTTCGCGGCTTCGTTTACAGAGGAATCATTGGATCAGGGCTGCCTGCACACGTGCTTCAGATTCAGGAAGCTCGGCCAACATCACACACACAACAAAGCCACCGACCGTGTAGATCACCTGACGTGTGCTCATACACACATCGCATGTCTCTTTGGTCAAGCTGTCAGCAAGCATCAGCTGAGGCCGGTGAGCAGGCCAGATGTACAAACACGCCCAACAGACACGAAGCCGCCTACTGCCATCCCCCTTCACCTTTAGCACGAACACGCTTCGCATGCACATGTGTGCGTTTGTGATACTACACTATACAGTTATTACCTGTAATAAGCTCTATGCCATCACTCCCTGCTGTTAGTTTAAGTGATGAATAACCAATAAGTGGCAGTTTGTAAAACGGGACATTTCACGATAAAGACAACGTAGCAGTTAGACCGCCAACCAGCCCGTCTGCTGCGAGGGGATCTGAAGACATTTCAAACCCATTTTATGAGGAATGTGTTCATGCTGAGAAACCTGTGAATCCTGGCGTCCTATTAAATCCAATTCACTTACAGCAAATATAAAAATAGCCGTCTGCAGCTTATGGCATGAAGCTAACCATCAGTGACAGCAGGTTATAAACAGAACAACACCCCCAGCAGCACCACGTCTGCACAGCAAGTCTCAGTTTGTACTAAATACTCATGTCAGACACGCTCAGGTGTGGACAGAGAGCTGGTTAACACGAATCATTAAGCAAACACTAAGAAGCACCGAGCCAAATGTCAAAGCTATCAGCACCAGTTTATCGTAATGGTGAATAAACCGTATTCTGCAACTGAAAAGGAGACAGAACAAATAGAGCTCTAATTAAAACGCAGCACGTCTCGTTCACGTATGGACACTTTCTATTGTTTGCATGGACGAGGAAACAGATATGGCATCACATGAGCATGTCACAGACTGTCAGGGATCTGCCTGAATAGAGAAGGCCCCCTACGTGACGGCAGACACACAGTGCGGTGAATCGCAGCAGCTCACACTGAGCAAAATGAGGCATAAAAAGCTATTAACACAGGACAGGCAACGGCCATATCTGGCAATCAACAGAGGGAAAGGGAGAGAAAGATGGCGGTTTGACCTTTTCCAGATGGTATAGCCTTTAATCCTTACTACAGAGTCCTGCTGGGGACATGCAGACTGGAGACGTCTGATAAATTAGGCTCAAATGCCACCGTGAATCTGCATTTGTATGTGTTCATTAACAAAAAAGGGACACGAGCGCTTTGAAGTGGGTCCACTTGGAGAGGCCTGTGCTCGTGGCGATGCTCGTCGAGTGTGTTCATGCATCTACACTTTCCACTGAGCAAGGCTGGAGTCACACAGCGCCTTCACTTTGTGCCACCTTTCTGTGAAATTGCTCTAAACGTTATAAACAACGATTGTATGATGACAATTACAGTGTTCCCCCATCCATCCATCCATCCATCCATCCATCCATCCACGGTTAGCCTTATTCAGGTCGGGTCACGGTGGGACTGGAACCCATCTCAACCAGTCTGAATGTGGAGAATACGCAGAGCGTTAGTAAAGTGAGGGCCGTTATAAGGACGAAGGACAGCAGAGGTGTTTGAAGCTAGTGCAGGACAGGCATATGGTAGGAAGACAGAGGCACTGACAACATGAGAGCAGCGACAGTGAGGTGTGTGGTACGAGTGGCAGATAGGTTCGAGGGGGGGGTGGCATTACAACAGGGGTCTGCTCAGAGCCACTTATGTTTGCAATGGTGATTGACAGGCTGACAGAACGCGCCACGCCGGAGTCTCTGTGGACTACGATGTTTGCAGACGACACCATGATCTGCAGTGAGCTTAGAGAGCGGGTGGAGGAGAGCCAGGAGAGGAGGCATGCTGTGGAGACAAGATGAATGTAGGTATGGAACAGAACGCACGTCAACTACAGCCAGTGAAGTTTAAATATCTCGAGTCAAACACCTGAAGCAGAAAACAAGAGAGGTGAAGGAGTGAGTGCAGGTAGCGTAGACCACGGCCTCGACGGGCACGGCCTCGACGGGCACGGCCTCGAC